CCGAGCCTGAAATAGCTCTTATAAATGGCCTCGAGATTCTAGCCCAAGCAAGTAAAAAATTAAAACAAAAACCTTTCTTAACATTTCATCATTAGTAGATACATGTAATGTCTTCAAGAGCAGAAAAAAAAAAAAAAATGCCAGCTGAATTTCTTTCAAATAGTCCTTCCCAACCCTGTTATTAACATGAACGTATCTCTCCCATTTTTTAAAAAACTTACTCATATCTCCTAAGCTAGCCTTTGGTAAGCCCTTGTTCCACACTCTTCGCAGGAACAAGAACAAAAAACAAGAGTCAAGAGTTATCATGACTAGGAAAGTGGCTGCTCTACTTTTCTGCTCTCAGAATGGGGTGACGTGGCAGTATGTTATGAGAGAGTGAAAACAACCCATTTTCTGTAACACAGGCCTGCTAGAGAAGGAGGCAGGAGCAGTATCCTAGCCATTCCTTATCCAGAGCTCTTCTCTTAGAAGAGACTGTAGCTTTAGGCACACACTATTCATAACCACCACAACAAAGTGGCAGAAATCATGTTAAGTAACCACAAGTTATGCCAGTAGGCATTGCCATGTTAAGAGCTGCCCTCCTACAACGTGCCCAAGGCTTGCTGATACTTCCTGTAAACACAGCAGCACTATAAATACTTACAGTGTGTTCCACGTATTCTTTTCCTGCCTGAATTACATCCAGGGCCCTCTTCTTTTGTTCCTGATCCAGTAGCAACTTGTAAGCTTTGTCCACAGCTAATGCAAAACATTGAAATTAACTGTTTCTGCAAACACCCTCTGAAAGTCTGAACTATACTCAGGCAGTGTAAATGGACTTGTGCTGTCTAAAAAAGCATTCCCTATTTTGTTAAGTTATTTACTGTTGTTAAACTAATTTTTTAAAAAAACATACAACTATAACAATGACTTTCCTTGAGAGCCTTGGGAAAAAATTACATATGCACTCAAGGCTAAATATACCACATCTAGATTTAATTCAGTGATAAAATATTTCCAATATTCTTTATGTTCAAAGAAAAAAATGATCCTATGCAATAATAGTCTTTGTTGGCACATAAAAGTTTTAACAAAACAAAGTTAAGGTCTACTTCTTAAGCAGCAATATTTTGCTTTGGAATGACAACTGTTCTACTGAAAACCACAGCTTCTTGGTGACCAGAAAACTATAACATTTTTTCTTGATCAAGGAAAAGGAACAGTTAGTCCCTATCATTTACAATACATGACTCAGAAGCAGGTAAATTTACAAATACCTTCAAAAGCCTTTTGTGCCCTGTCAGCATCATCTTGATTTTTGTCAGGATGCACCAATATGGATAACTACGATAAGAGAAAAGTTTGTTAATAAGACAAACATTTAGTAACTCTTGGTCTGCAGGCTCTCTACAACCAAAAGCTCTAAGGTACTGTGGCAAAAAAAGACTCTAAGCAAGAAGCACACATTCTTTTCATAATTGGGAAACATCTCAAGTTTCTTTTCTTTTTTTTTTTT